AATATATTGAAATATTCACGGGTAATTTTTTCCTCAGTCATCAACATGTACACACTTGCATGTTTATATTTTATGTACATAGCTTAACAGTAGAGTACCTAGTTCTTCAGCACATTTTTAAAGGAGAGTATATTTTCCTATCCTCCTTCTTTTTGGCCTTTTTCCTGAAGTTGTTGGCACATTCTTCTTATTTCAGATTTAATGCATAATGTATCCACAACTGATACATTATGGATACATACTAGATACAAAAAGTGGATAATAAGACTAACACTTGTGCAAGACCTTAATTCTTTATAATAGAAAAAAAAATTATCTTCCTTCCTTCCTTCCTTCCTTCCTTCCTTCCTTCCTTCCTTCCTTCCTTCCACCAAGCAACACTCAAACATCAATCATATTTTTAGCAGACAAAAATAGTACCTATTGTGTACCCATCACATATTTTTGTGAACATAGGCAAACAGAAAAGATAATTTTACTAGGTAGGTCATGAAAACAGTTCTTCAAGAATCTGATTACTTTGATTAGAATAAGGCAAAGTGCTTTTATGACATTTGCAAAGGCTTCAGTAGCACACTTGACACCTCTCCTGCGCGAGCTGCACTGGATCCCAGTGGTCTTCCGGGTGCGATTCAAGGTGTTGGTCACCACCTTTAAAGCGCTCCATGGCATAGGACCTGGGTACCTTCAAGACCGACTTCTGCCACCAATAGCCTCCCACCGGCCAGTTCGCTCCCACAGAGAGGTTTTCCTCAGGGTGCCATCAGCCAAGTTATGTCGGCTGGCGACACCCAGGGGGAGGGCCTTCTCTGTGGGAGCCCCAGCCCTGTGGAATGAACTGCCCCCGGAAATACATAAGATCTCCGACCTCCGGGTATTTCACTGTGCACTGAAGACCCTGTTGTTCCGCCAAGCCGGGCTATCAACATAATAATTTTAAATTGGGGTATTTTAAATTTCTGGGGTTTTAAATTGAGCCGAATTTATTTAATAATTTTAAATTTTTAATTGATGTTTGTCTTGTGTTTTTAAATAGGCTGTACACTACCCTGAGTCCTTCAGGAGAAGGGTGGTATAGAAATAAAATTATACTTATATTTGCTAAATCAGAATCCAGTTATCTGAATGGAATAGTCAGTTGGAATTGTAGTTTAATTCATTATATAGCACTCTTGACATTGTTCAGATGTCATTGCTTTGTGAGTGAAAGAGATTCTAGAATCTGCATGATTCTTAAAATTTCCCCCTTCCTTGTGTGTTTTTGTATGTGTGAGAAAGAAAGACTGTGTGAATATTGTAAAACCCTGTAACATCTTTATCTTTCTCCTTTGTGAGTTTAAGGGAAGGTGAGTTCTCTATGACATTATGATAGAGTTTTAATGGAACTGTGACTTCTCGTTTTTTATTAAAGTATGATTTTTTTTAAGAAAATGTTCTACCACCCTTTCTATTACTACTTTAATTTGTCATCATGTTATGCATCAACATTTCTAGTTTTTTTCCCTTTCCTCTCTTCTCTTTCCATAATTTTGTTGTCATACAGCATATGATAATTGTAATTGAATGCATATAGTTTACTGATTGAAATGATTGAAACCATGAACTTTTACAATCTGAAGTATCTACCATTAAGAAGGTCATATAACAGTTAAAATGAACTGTTAAACTGTTGTCAGCTGAATAAGCATTACATAGTTCCAAGGGGAAAAAAAACCCTCTTTGACCAAGAATAACACAATTATATAATTAAAGCCTACCAAATCATTGACAATCTACTCATTTTGCCAGGGTGACAAATTGCATTCAGCTTGGGAAATGCAGATCAAAGAGATATTGGATCATGCTTTATTAAATGGTATACTTAAAGCTTTTTGTGGAACATTGTGTACTTGCTGCAATGTTGAAAATATCTTTTAAGAGAAAAGTTTGAATAAACTTTATATATGTTACGTTATTGAACTATCATTAGGGAGATTAGTTTTTGTATGTTGTTTTATCTGTAACAAATAGTAATAGTAATTTAGTAGTAGTAGTAATTCAATAATATTTTTTAAAAAGTTTGTTTGTTCCATTCAGAATATTTGAAGTGTAGCAGAGAAAGGGAACTTTTTTGGCTCAGTAGTTATTGGAATAAGGCTAAAGTGTAAAGCTAAAGGGAAATCGGATTCCTGCTGGATATTTATATCATATGAAATATTTCTGTAAGCATTCTTGATAAAATATCAAAATTTGCCATTGGAGCATGAAGGAAATTGCAAGTCTTCATGTGTGATTTGTTATAAATTCTGAATACATTCTAAAATGTTATTTATAGAGGAGAGGAGAGGAGAGGGGAGGGGAGGGGAGGGGAGGGGAGGGGAGGAAAGGAAAGGAAAGGAAAGGAAAGGAAAGGAAAGGAAAGGAAAGGAAAGATAGAACAATATAGAAATATAGTAACCAGAAATTGTGGAATATCAGATTTCATGGAAAGCCATGCTGCTATATTTTGGGTATAGAATTGTATTTATTTTCTCATCTCTAGCCTAAATGGCAGCAATGATATGAGGTCCCAAAACAGGGATCGATAGCTCAGTGACATTTGACATTTGTATAAATTGAAGTTTTGACATCCCTCAGTCATGCTTGTCTATAGTTTCAAATCAGTCCGGCAGAAATACAGGAAGTTTAAACAAAGAATCTGAAATCAAAGTGTAGGATATCAGCCACACTTTCAGTATTTCAAGACAGAATGGAAGCTAACAAGGCTAGTGTTACCAATGTCTGCATACTATGTTTATTGGAAAGGAAGGTGAGTTTTTTTTTTCCTCCAAACATTTATTTTTTTTAAATAGAGAGTAGATTTAGATTGGCTAACAATCCAGTAAAGAAAACTATTCTTTTAAAGCAGAAGACTGAGAGATAAGAGATGAGAGATGATGGATGGACAGACAGATGGATGGATGGATATTCCGTCTTCATTTTCAATAGATGACTGAAATGTATGAATATTATCATAATATGGATAAAGAGAGTGGGTAGAAGAAGATCGCTTAGACTTCTTTCAAGTAATAACATATAATACTTTCCAATCTTTAGCAGTCTAAAATCTGTACGGCACAATCAATATCTTAGATAACTTTCAGAAAGATTTCTATTTTCTTTTTTGGGGTACCGATTGTACTTCTTAAAGTTCTATTTTCACAAGGGGGTGATGCTAATAGTAATTTAATTTAGTTAAAGACGACTTCTGAAGGTGATGCTAGAATATTGATATGAGAGATTCCTGCTGATAGCTTCTGAAGCTTAATATTCCCTTTCATACGTTCATTGTGCAAATATTGTAAGAAGGGTTAGATATTTCTTAGATCCATTCCTTGTCTAAATACACATTATACACGTAATGTCTATTTGATTTAAGTGCCTCCTTTTACTTTTCTACCTAATAGTTTGAAGCAGAGGTGAACTCAGTTAAAACCAATAGCTTAAAACAAGCAAATAGCTTTCCCTCATGGAAAAAAATATTTCAATTAAGATTCTGTTTCCTCGTCTCTCACCATAAAGTTTTAAAATTTGTCCACGTATTAGTAGGCCTCTGATTGCCCTTGTACAACTTCTAGGCATGAACAGTTGATAGCGAAAGTATCAATGGCACATTCTTATGCCTTATAAACTCTTATGTAGTTGCGTGGAGGTTTTTTTTCCTATCGTTTTTTGATATCGTTTGTCAGAATAAAATTTATTGGGATGTAAGAACAATTCTGCTAAAGTATTGCATGGGGGATGTGTGATAACAGGTGGTATCATTTTGCTAACCATGGATATTTTTAGAAAACTGAAGTGGGGTGAGAACTAAAACTAGGGCAGTGGATTTAGTGGGCAACTCAGAAAACATCTTTTGGGAGATACCAGTGTAAAACTACTTCTGTATTATTGTCATGGACATGTATGTGTATTGTCGTGGACATGTATGTACCAGGGTATGAGCTCAATTCAAAGACTTTATTTTTATTCTTTATTTACTTTATTTTATTTCTCCACTTTTTTCCACAACAAGAAACTTATGCAGAAACCTTAGCAAGTAAGACTGACCTGAAGTCAACTACTGAGCTTCTGTAGCTGAGGATGGATTTAGTAGTTCTCCCCAATTCTAATCCAGCATTTTAACCATTGTACCATGAAGAAATCCCCAGTGTAATAGTTTAAATGCTATTGAAATGCTGTCTCTGTGATGAATTATTTCTGGTCTCTATATGTCACTTGGTCCCCCTGTCCTCCCTGTCTATTGCACAGCTTCCAGTAAAACATGTCATCTTTAGATAGTCTTGATGGTGGGATTCAGCCAGTTCGCACCTATTTGGGAGAACTGGTTGTTAACTTTCTAAGCAGTTCAGAGAACCGGTTGTTGGAAGAAATCTTATTTTGTTTTTTTCCACTTTACAGGGCTAATCCTGTAAGGAAGGCAGAAACATTGTGGTGTTGTTTCTAGCCTAATCTTTATTGCCCTGCTTACAGAAACTGCCTCTCTGGTTAACCCTTATTACATTGTAACAGTGAGTGATGTTGAGTTGGCCATGCCCACATGGTCATATGACCACCGAACCACACCTACCCAGCTGGACATTAGGGCAGGGAACCGGTTGTTAAATTATTTGAATCCCACCACTGGATAGTCTCATTGGTGAACAGTAAAAATAAAATAAAATAAATAAACTTATTTACAACCTCCTAGTGCTGCTACTCAGTTCTGCATTTTCCCCTTTTCTATCTGGCCTACACTTGGAATGCTATGGTCATAGGTACATGATGTTTGTTGATATGTTGCACATATGTTCTCTGAGTATGGAAGATTTTATTTTAAATTGACAGCCACTGAGAGTTGCTAAGTTATCATAAATGTTGTAAAGACAGGTCAATTTTATTTGATTAACTTGATCAAAGAGAAATTTAAAAAAAGGAAAACAATATATACACCATTCCAAAGAAAAAAAAGTTAGCATCTAGTGCTACTATGTATCCCACAGGTTCTTCTTCCACTTTGACCCAAACTGACTTCACTGGTGAGTTAGAGGAACATATTGCGGCTACCGGTGGTGATAATACCTTTGCTAGCACATCTGCTGATGTTACTGTATCCAGTCTTACTGCTATCACCAGCCATAGAGTTTCCGAAGAGCAGCGAGGGCAAGCCGTGAATCTCAGAAACTCAGATCTGGAGCTCACCACTTTCAAGGACTCGCTCTCCCTTCAATCAGCAAATACGCAAATTGCAAGAAGACGGCCAAGAAATGCTGAGCAGATAGAAAGAACTAACTCGCTTGCAGTTGTTACACATAGAGGTATTGGACGTTATTTTACTTGTGTCCATTTAGTCATCAGCAATAGGGGGTGCCGACTGACACTATATATTTATATATTTATATATATTTTCCTGATTCCATTAATGAGAGGGCAGGAGAGGGTCAGTTAGGAAAGTAAAGGGGTGGCGAGAAGATTAGTGTTACAATTTGTGTAGGATATGCAAGGCTTTTTCTTAGAAATGACTGATTCACCATGTTTCACCTCAGAATTCAGCAAGCGCGGCATACTTGAGTCTTGCAAACTAAAATTAATAGCATTTAGCAATAGCATTTAGACTTATATTGCGCCCCATAAGTGCTTTACAGGTAGTCCTCGCCTTACGTCCACAATTGAGCCCCAAATTTCAAATTTGTTAAGGGAGACCTTTGTTAAGTGAGGTTTGCCCCATTTTATGACTTTTCTTGACACAGTTGTTAAGTGAATTACTGCAACTGATAAGTTAATAACCTGGTTGTTAAGTTGAATCTGGCTTCCCCATTGACCTTGCTCATCAGACGTTTGCCAAAAAGGGATCACATGACCCTGAGACACAGCAAAGGTCATAAGTATGAACCAATTGCCAAACATCTGCATTTTGATCACATAGTCATGGGGATGCTGCAAAGGTTCATAACTATGAAAAAATGGCCATAAATCACATTTTTCAGTGCCATTGTAATTTTGAATGGTCACTAAACGAATTGTTGTAAATTGAGGACTATCTGTACAGCACTTTCTGGGCAGTTTACGATGTAAATATCATTTGCATACTGTCCCCAACAAACTTAGTCCTCATTTTAGTGACCTCAGAAGGATCGAAGGCTGAGTCAGCCAAATGCAGATTAATATGCATCTTGGTCATGAATAGGAAATGTAGACATATAAATTCAATAGCCTGTCTGTCTCATACTTCAAGGGCAACTGAAGCATTTCTATCTGTATGGCATCTATTACCTGTTTCCATTGTTTTTCTTTCCTGACCATGAGAATCAATTCACTTTCTGCATGGTTTGTTTTCAAGTGGTTCTCACCCAGCCCCATTTTCATGAAATAATGGCCTCCTCCCACATAATATGATACATTTATGTATAAGTATCAACAGAATTATTATTATTATTATTATTATTATTATTATTATTATTAAATATACAATAGTAACAATAATTCAAAAATAACAAATTGTCCTGTGGAAGTTTACAACTATAGCATTAATCATTGCATACTGAAGTAAGCAAGGGACAAGTAATCAATGAGAAGTTTCAAAATGAAAAACTTATTCAAAACAATAATGTTCTTTATTCTAATTGTTATTTTTGCATCATGCAATCCAAATTTAGCATATGAAATAGCTTTGGTAAAATGCTGAAATCTGAACAACAACAAAAAAAGATTCAATGTGATCTAAAAATACACATACGGCTGTCCTTGGAAGATCCTATGATGGCCATGGACAGGGGAGCTTTTTATCAGGTTCGCCTGATACACCAGTTGCGTCCCTTTCTGGACCGGGATGCCCTGTGCACGGTCACTCATGCCCTTGTCACGTCACGTCTGGACTACTGTAACTCTCTCTACATGGGGCTCCCCTTGAAGAGCGCTCGGAGGCTCCAACTGGTCCAGAATGCGGCCGCGCGGGTGGTTATGGGGGTGACTTGGTGCACCCACGTAACACCCCTCCTGCGCGAGCTGCACTGGCTCCCAGTGGTCTTCCGAGTGCGATTCAAGGTATTGGTCACCATCTTTAAAGCGCTCCATGGCTTAGGACCGGGGTATATACGAGACCGCCTGCTGCCAGCAACAGCCTCCCACCGGCCAATACGCTCCCACAGAGAGGGGCTCCTTAGGGTGCCGTCGGCCAGATAATGCCGACTGGCGACACCCAGGGGGAGAGCCTTCTCTGTGGGGGCACCAGCCCTCTGGAATGAGCTGCCCCTTGAGATTCGTCTCATCCCCGACCTGCGTACCTTTCGCCGCGCCTTGAAGACCCTCTTGTTCCAACAAGCCGGCCTGGCCTAATACGAATTTTAGAATGGGTGTATGTGCGTTTTAATTTATGGGCCAAATTTTTATATATTCAATTTTAAATTGTTTTAAATTTTGTATATTTATATGTGTTTTAATATGGTTGTACACCGCCCTGAGTCCTTCGGGAGAAGGGCGGTATAGAAATCTAATAAAAATAACAACATAACATAACATAACATACACACACACACGTGTGTGTGTGCACACATTACATACACACATGTGCGCGCACAAACACACAAACACGTGTGTGTGTGTGTATGTGTATTTGTACACATGCTATTTAAAGCTGTAAGATGCCCTAATTGAAAACAGGAACTAATTAAATCTTATTTAGTTTGTAGCTAAGTATATTAATGTAAAATATAATTGTTTCAACTTATTACTTATTCATTACAGAAATTTTAATAGTTGCTTTTAATGGAAACTCAAACTGCAGTAACAATTAAAATAAATAGGGTGGCATTTAAAAAATGAACAGCTTACAATCACTAGTAAAATAAAAATAGATCCAATTAAAATGTAATGGATAATGCAGGCCTCTTTGCCAGACAGTTCAAAATAGCTGCTTTATGACTAGGTAACTGTGCTGGGAGACATCATCTCTAAGAAGAACACCTTATATTCTCATAATTGTGAAATGAAAATAGGTACAATTCCATGTACTAAAAAGAAAAATGGGAATTGTGTTTGTGTCTTTTTGGCTTAAGTTTAATATTGGAATATAAGATTGGTCAACCATTAAGTATAGTTTGAAAACACAAAGTATGTTAATTACTGTAATATGGAGGCATTTGTTAGTTTGCAGTTTTCTAGCTTATAGTTTGTCTTACCCAAATTCATAAATGTGCAAGACAAGAAATATTTTAATTATAGTAAAGCATTGGTCAAATATGTTACACAGTTTTGCTTCAGGATTGAATTTGACTTGTTTCTAACTTGTTTCAACAAACCAAGACTTAATGTCACTTCTGGAATTGTGGTACAATTTTACTAAATAAATAAAATGGATTAATTGCTTCCCCTATGTACAGATTTGTTTATGGTAACATAGGTTAGCTCAAAGATAGGATGGCAAGCAAAATATTCTATTTCTTTCTCACTGGATCTGGCCTTACTGCTAATGGATTGACTGATTTGCTTCTACATGCCATACATTTATATGTTTTTTATATACTTTTAATACCAGAAATCATTATATGGCTTCAATATTAGATGCTAATGGAAAGGAGGAAATCATTTTTTAAAAAGATAGGCTACCTTGGTAAGCTATGCAATTATGTCTGTGAATCATTTTAAAATTGTTCCAAATCTGATTTTATTGCAGAAGAAATAACTGGGGGAAATTGTTTTCATTTATCTGAAGGTCTGTGTAGTGGCTTTTTAAACTTGTGCTTCTGCTTATCTTGGTTGGGCTATTTCTATTCTTTATCCTAATTTCCCTTGACCTCCTTTCTTCACAAACCCATTTGTTTCTTGTTGTGTCATGACATAGCCCCACAACCTATGGCTAAATCATGGACAATCCTTTATTTGACTACATTAGATTATTGACAAAGTCATGAACAACTTGTAACTTCTAACCTCACCAGTATGTAAATAATATCAACATAGTCACAACTGTGATCTAAATGGCATGTTATTTAAATATGGGGGAACACCGTGGCAAGACAATAGGGGTGATTAGCCATCATTGTGGGTATGTGTGTGTGTTTGTGTGTGTGTATGTTTTTGTGAGACATGAAGGTTGAAGAATTCAGGATTATGGCAGTGGCAAGTAATTTTTTTCACCATGCAATAAAACAGATATTTTTGCACTTTTTTTTTGCACTTTTTTTTTAAATGCAAGTTTAGCACACCTCTACCTTTTCTTTTCCATTAAAATTTGGAAAGAAACCATGCCACCAATATCCAGTCACATTTGGGTAACAGCTCTTTAAAAAAGCTAAGATGTTAAGGAAAACAAAATGGGTTTGGGGCAGAGGTGGGCAACTATGGCCCTTTTATGACTTGTGGACTTCAATTCCCAGAATTCCTGGGCTAACATGGCTGGCTCAGGAATTCTGGGGAGTCCACAAGTCATAAAAGGGCCATAGTTGCCCACCCCTGGTTTGGGGGATTTGTCCCTGCAGTCTATGGGTTGTTCAGTCTTGTTCAGGGGTGGGGTACAGGGGGTTTGCAGGGGTTCTGGACAACTTCTAGCTAAGATTCTGTGCAGTCCAGAAAACCCCCAAATCCCACTCCTGGCTGGCCCCGCCCACCCGTTTCCTCCCCTCCCAGGAGTCCCCACGCAGCCTGTTTTGGATGCAGGTAAGTGCAGGGTGCTTGGGGAGACTCAGGGAGGGTGAAACACGGGCCTACCGAAAGTTCTAGGGAGGCCATGTTTGCCCTCCCAGAGGCTCAAGGAAAACCTCTGGAGCCCGGAGAGGGCAAAAACACCTCCTCCCTCTGCCATGGTGCAGGAGGCTGACTAGGCCACACCCATCATGGCCACATCCACCCAGCAACCGGGCAGAGAACCCCTTGCTAAAATTTTTGAAACCCACCCCTGACCCTGTTTCACAGCTACATAAGGATAGAATACCATCTTAGATGTAGTGGAATGTAGGATCTTGGGGAATGAGAGGAACAGATGCTGTCTAAGAAACAATTGGAGAAACTTCCAATCAAATAATCAATTAGAATTGAGCTGAAAGGGACCTTCAAGGTCTTCTAGCCCAGCCCCCTGCTCAAGCCATTAGACAAGTGGCTGTCCAGTCTCTTCTTCAAAACTCCAGTGATGAAGCACCAGTGGTGGGTTGTTCCTGGTTCGCCCCGGTTCAGGCGAACCAGTAGCGGTGACAGGAAATTCTGCCCGCCCAACCAAACATCATCAAAAATGCTCTGCGCATGCACAGAGTGAGCGCACCCACATGCTACCGATAGCAAACCAGTAGCACCGGGATTTGAAACCCACTACTGTGAAGCACCCACA